TACCTGCTTTTTTACTTTCTGTACAACCCTCTGTGTTCAACACACAAAGCAATCCAAACTGAATGCTCAAATACATAGACAGATGCTTATGAATGCTGAGAATGCCTGACCTTGTTTAACCTCAAAGTATTTTCCCCTACACTTAGCCCTTTTACTATTCATTTAGTAGGCAACTCTGAATATAAACGTATTGTAATAAATTAAGATATGCAGTCAGCAATGACTAGGCTTTATTTCCTGTTTGGCATATAGTTAATCAGTCAAACAGACTATAATGTACTTGTGTATATTTGTTTATTAAATTTGCATTATATTTATTAGTCACAGTTATTACTTACCTACAAATCTAGTCCTTTTGTTGATTTAAAAACAAATGAAGACCCCCCTCCTCAACAATAACCACAGAGCATTATGGTGGTAAAAAGATTACACAGAGATTATATTATACATAGATGATACTCCAACTGAACTGCTACAAGACACACAGCCAGAATCAACTCTAGTGTTAACAAAAACAAGCCAACAAATATAGAAAACAAAACCATGGCCAAAAGACTGAAAATACTCAATATACATTCCCATCCACACACAAAAAGGAGACACAAAAGACTGCAACAACTATAGAACCATAATGCTAATTTCCACACAAGAAAAATTATGTTCATATTCTGCAACATAGACTCCAATAATAGATGGAGAGAGAAACCCCAGAGGTGCAAGAGGGGGTCAGAAAGAGGAATTGGAGACCACATTGCAAACATACAATACCTCCAGTTTGTTATGAGTTGTGACTTTGCACTAGGGGCCATATTGCAAACATACAATGGCTAATGGAGTGCATCAAGGAATTCCAAGAGAAAATCACCATGTGCTTTATAAATTAGAGCAAAGCCTTTGACTGCACAGATCACAAAAAACTGTGGAACACTCTTAAAGGCATGGGAGTGCCACTACATTTGATAGTCATGATGAGAAATCTTGTTGGGGAAAGCAGCCAGAGCCTGCAGCTAGGCAATTACTCAGTCACAGAGATAACCAGCTCACAACAAACTGGAGGCAGTTTCAGAGGCAAAATAGATCCAAGAACAAGAGGTACACAGAGTAATCCAACAACAGTCCAAAGAGTCAGGGTTCATAGCAAGTGGAGTCATCAAAAGCAGGTCCAAGGTCTAACAGGAATTCTAGACAACAAAAATATGTAGTCATCATCAACAAACACCAGAGCTTTCACAGGGGCATTAATTAACCTCTGACAAACTTCCTTCAGTTCCCTGAAGCATATATACCCACATTCTTACAACCCCAGTTGTTCCTTCCTGGCCCAGTGTTTCAGATAATGATTATGGGAACAGAACAGGCCCTCCCTTTCTGACCTATGCTGGCTGAAGGTAGGCATGGGCAAGTCTGGCTCCAACTGCTCTTCCTCCTCCTTACTGTCCAGGACACTCTGCTAGCACTGGTAGTGCTGAATCCATGCCAGATTTCTTGTTGTCTTCATTGGCAGCATTCCCTAGTGGCACAGGTGCTGCCAAACTCATGCCAGGCTTGTTATCCATCCCAGCAGCCAGTCTGGGCTCCTCCATGTCTTTATTCCCTGAATCCACACAGGGCATGACAAATCTGTACTTAGAAAAGAAGCCATAGTTAGAACAGAATATGAAGAAACAGAATGGTTCCAAATTGGCAAAGGGTTTGGGCAAGGCTGCCTTTTATCACCCTACATGTTCAGCTTGTACACAAAAAATAGCATACAAATATATCATACAAAGAACAGTTTTGGACTTAGGAAGGAGGAGTGAAGATATGTGGATGACGCTATACTACTAGCAGAAAACATAATTGACATGGAACAATTACTAAGGAAGGTCAAAGTAGAAAGTGTAAAGGCAGGCTTACTGCTGAACATAAAGAAAACAAAAATAATGACTACAGAGAATCTACATAATTCTGCCTAGACAATGAGAAAATTGAAACAGTTAAGGATTTTCCATGCCTTGGATCAAACAATTATTAGAAAGGAGACTACAATCAAAAAATAAGAATACAAGGACGGGGAGGGGCAACAATGAAAGAAATAGACAAGGTCCCTAAAAAGTAAAAATACACAACTGAGTGCTAAAGTTAGAGTAATCCAATCCATTGTATTCCCCATCACCATGTACAGGTGTGAGAACTGGGCAGTTAAGAAAGTGGATAAAAAGAAAATCAACCCATTTGAGATGTGGTGCCAGAGAAGAGTGCTGAGGATACCATGGGGGGGGGGGGCAAAAAGTCAAACAAATGGGTTCTAGAACAGATCAAGACTAAACCAGGAAGCCAAGATGATTAAACTGAAGCTGTCATACTTTGGCCATATCATAAGAAGGCATGAATCATTGGAAAATAATGCTAGGAAAAATAGAAGGCAATAAAAAGAGAGGAATACTGCCTGACAGATGGCTAGACTGACTTAGGAAGTATATGGGAGTCTTGTAGACTCATAGGCCTGAATCTACAAAACTTAAGCAGAGCAGTGGAATTTTATTTATTTATTTATTTATTTGAAATGTCTCATCCACAAGGCTACCATGAGTCAAGGTTGACTCAAGACCAGTTAATAACATTACTCGTTCCTATAGTGGATGTTTATCTGCCCCTGAACACAAGTGCAGTGGATGCTCCATAGAGAAGCAGTTGAGACCCTGAACTAACTCTCACCATTTGATTTGTCCTTCACTTCTGATTTCTGACATGTCCTACCCCTCCTGGATTCTGCCTTGCTTCAGAATGTAACCTGCAACACAATCCTGGCATATGGAGATGACCATGCAGAGGAGAGCTGAATATTGCTAAAAGAGTTGTGAAAGGTAGCATTAAGAAGGTCCTGTCCCAGCCCCAAGTAATTGAAATTCTGCCTAACTGAGACGCATGGTACATCATGTTCTTCCTCTCCCTTCACTGAAGTGTTTCAAACAATGTCACTTTGCTTATGTCAGCAGGGTTGGGATTCATCAGCAGGATTGCTGTGGCATTTAGATGTAGTTGGTCACAGTGTGGTTGCATGTAGCATCTGGGTCTGGTAGAGCAGAGGTTTCTGGGAACTTGGCAGCAGTAGCAGGCAAATGGCAGCAGATGAGAACTGTCAAACAGAACAGATGCCTCATTAACCACAGTGCCACAAAGCAACAGCACAGCTGTGGAGAGACAAGTGGTGCCTTCAGTCTTACTTTAGTCTCATTTGCAAAATGAAGTTGTGTATTCTTTGTGTATGTACCTGTGTGTGCACGTACTTACATAATATCTCTCCATCTTTATACTTCCCATTCAGATAATCTTTTCTCACCATCCATGAATCCTTTATCAACCTGTGTTGTTATTTTTTCCCTTTTCAAATTATCATCGTCTTCATCATCCAATGTATAGACATTACAAAGCAATTAATTTGAAAAAGAGCAAAGCAGTTCTATAATACATCAATTTAAGAACAATTAGATTCAAAGAAATGTGCTTTTTAAAGCTCTCTAATAAATGAATAAGTTCTAGAAAAGAATCATCAGCTTACGTGTCATTTGCATAATGGTTATCCAGCTAAATGGATTTCTTTTCAATGATGCGCCTTCCAATACTATATTAATTTCTGAAAAATGTAACCCATCTTAATATATTCCTTTGTTATATGTAAAGCACTATGTTAACATCAGTGAGGCTATTAGCTGAACAGAGCAGAGTTCAAATCCCCCAGTATATGTGCTGCCCCATGTGTAAGAAGTGCAGCAGGATCATTTTGATGGTTTTTCAGGAGGCAAATGAAATGTGGGCAAAATGAGGAGGTTTAATGGTGGTTTAATGCCCTAGGAGACACAAATAATGTTAGAAGTTTGCTTTAGGTCAGGGGTAGGCAACCTTTCCCCTTTAAGGGCCGAGGGACTTCAGTTCCCAGAAGCCTCAGCCATGTTGGCCAATAGTCCCATGTTGGCCAATAGCTCCTGGGATTCTGGGAGCTGAAGTCCCTTGGCCCTTAAAGGGGAAAGGTTGCCTACCCCTGCTTTAGGTGATGCAAACAGTACTAAACTATTATGTTTTGTCTTGTGGCTATGAACAGATCCCTGAGTTCTAGCCATTCTTTTGTCTTCAACTATGGAGAAGTAGAAAAAACATCATTATACTATGCAAGGCAAAAATAACCCCTCACATATCTTTCAGAAGTGATAGGCTGTAGCTTCCCTGTTCAGTGATGGTGATGAATCTGCTATTTAAAGTCTGGAATTTAAAAGAACTATACAAGAACTACCCACATATTTCAGATACAAGGATTAGTACCTTGGTTAGTTACTAAAAAAATTGGACTACAGCCCAGAGTTTATTCACCACCCCACTAAAATGAAAATTGTTAGACAGCATTGACCATCAATGACTTATAAAGTCTGCTATCTCCATCTTGGGACTGGATTTAATTGCAGACTACAAAAGCAGGCCTAATTGGAAACTTCTTGCATCTCTCAATTTTTGTGAACCCTGCTTTTCTCCAACCTGACAAATTTGAAGAAACTCAGTACCGGTATTTCACAGACTTGTGTGATACTTATTTATTAATTAATTTAAATATGTACATATCACTCTGTATTGTGGGATTTTAGTGGGACATACAGATAAATCAATACAAACAATTAAAGACAATTCCAGATTAAAACAATAAAATGATTTGGATGATTTACAACATATAGCAATGATTTACAACTTATAGCAATAGCAAGTACCTTTCTATTCCACTTATCAGTGCACTTAAGCATTCCCTAAGATATTTACAATGTCTAAACTAATTGCCCTCAACAAGTTGGTTTCTCATTTTAGCGACTAAGGGCCTTTGCAGACTGCCAGAAATAGTGCAAATTGAGGCCAC